GTCCTATTTAGAAGAAAACAAAGGTGTAGGTAAAATTTCTTCCTAAGTATTGTCGGGGAATAAAAGTATCACCATCCGATCCAGAATTAAATTCTGCATCGAATGGTCTGGTTTTTATGGGCCGGCAATACTTCTGAGAAGACTTATAGCTGAATCTCTGTTTCATCGTGCTAGCTCCGTCGTGCTAGCTTCACACTGATAAAAATTTTCTGTTACTTATTTCTTATATTTGTAAAAGAAAATTACGAACAAATATAAGAATAAAAACACTTTTTGAACAAAAAAAATTAAATTAACTTTCAAGAACATTATTGTGCACGTCCACGTAGCTCTTTTATTTTACTCAGTATTTTAACTGATGGACCTAATATAATCTTCATATCGTGGCGTAAATCCTCCTTTTCCAATAGTAATAATGCTGTGCCATCAACTTCATTTTTTCGAAAGACTTCAGCAATTGTTTGATTAGTTATTTGTTCAATAAAGTGTCCAACTTGCACAATGGTCCATTTTTTTGGATCACTGGGTAATCCATTATTTTCTTTTTCTATTTCTTCTTCATCATTATCCTGTATTTGATTAATATATTTGGTTGACAAACAAATCGATTGTACAGTATTAGGTATTGTTGTTGTTGTTGACGTGATAACTGATGGGCGAGATGATGAGATCGATGCAGGAAGTATATTTGTTGACGATGTTTTACCTATGAGCAACGATGGATAATATTGTTGTTGTAATAGTGATGAATGTATAGCAGGAGTTATATTCTAGCAATTTTAGAAAATAAATTAATTAGATTTATTATTCTTTCATGAACGTCCAAAAATAAATTTCTCAAAAAAACATCTTACTGTATGATCTATACGATTATTTGAACAATCTGATGAACAATTATTTGAATTTATCCGTATATTATCCATTGATGTCATTATTGTTGGTTCAGGCATTAATAATCTCGTTGATTTAGCACTTTGAATTAGTGAACGACTTTTTATTGGTTTAGTAGCATATTGAATACGTTCATGTAATCTAAAGAAAATAAGAATAAAAATCCAAGTTAAAAAAAGAAACCTTTTGTTTTACTTTGGTCGTCCACGTTTCTTTTGCGATAAATTGGAACTTCTGCTGTATGGATTATAGAGGAAAAAAGTAAGAAAAAAGAGAATAGATCTTTTTACGTAGTGAACTGTTGATGACCATGATAAGGTGTATGTACCACCTGCGAACTTGTATATGAAAGACTATTATCTGCTGTTGTTAAATCATCTAAACTTATTCAAATAAATAAATTCTGTTTCATTTATCAATGTCTTTTTAACTAACAAAATGTGTTATTGTATAATGAATCATTATTTTGATGTATTGGTGATGCATCATTATCTTGTGTCTGTAAATGATATTCATTATAATTTGCTGTTGATATGAATGTTACGGGTAATTGTTGTGGTTCTATCGTTGCTACATTGTTTGTGATAGTATCTAAAAAAAGAATTCTTTTATTTTTAATACAAATTTAAAAAACATTACTTCGTTGTGTATTAAATGATGAATTTGTAGGAACAACAGTAGGTGTCTGTGAAGAATTTTGATATAACTATAAAAATAATCATCTTATTACATAAAATTAAATTAATTCCTTTTTGATTTTACTTGTTCTTCTACAAAAGAAGTAACAGGAGTCGATTGTTGTTGATAAATATTTATTGGCGAATTAGATACTAAAAAAACAACAAAAGATATTATTTCTATTTATTTACAGAGAAGAAATAGATGTTTTCTTTTTGTATTGAATAGTACTTACATATAAAAGAATCTTGATTTGTGGGAAATGAGTATGAAGCAGGTTGATTAGCCATTGAAATACCAGATATAAAAAATGATGCTAACCAAAAAAAAAGATATTAATATATATTTTTATTTCTATGATTTACTTATTTGATTATCTTATTAAACTAAATTTTGCTTGGCTTTGCTTGTTATTTTTACACTTTATTCGATTTTAAATGAAATGAACTGAAGTACACTCACACATGATAGTTTATCTGTTTTATTTTCTTTTCTTTTGCTACTACTATTTAATAGTGAATCGTCTAGACGCTGATAGCTGATAGAAATGATTTTCTTTCGCCAACTTCGTCTTGATCCATTATCAAATCATAATAAACACAGGAAAAGAAAAAAGACAAAAGCTATTATATGTGTGTATGTGAACTTATCTTGTAATATTCTATAATAATGAATTTTGAAATATTCTTCTAATAATTCAAATGAGAAATGCTAAGTAGTAGTTATACATCTTTGAGACATAAATAATATAATCTAGTACTATATTGAAGGGCAAATGGAAACTAGTCGCTTAATAATTGTTATGTGATGAGACCGTGTATGTACTACATACATTGTGATAGCGTACAGAAGAAAGAAAAGATAGATGATTTTTGTTAATTATAAGACGCAATGGTTTAAAAAATACACGATGATAATATCCTAGTGAAAATGATATAAAGCGACTTTTCCTGATTTTTATATGACAAATAAAATTTGTAAAATATTTTCTACAGCATACCAGAGAGACTTATATAAAACTCCCGAAATGCTGTAAACTGACCAAAAGTGTTTATGCTGTTTCATTTCTTTGTGACAATAGCATCAGTGAGCTCATCTACATGTCACAAGCAGACTTGCGTCAAATACGAACCATTGAAATTGCCGAATTTACGTTAACATTTGTTGAGTCGAGTTTGGATACTTTTCCTCGTCATCATCAGTACATTTAGAAACATGATATGATATATAAATGAAGAAGTAAAAAAAATGAACTATGTCTTCTATATATAAGCACTTATATAGCTAAAGCTATTAGTTGAGTTGGTGTTGTTTCTGATTCACGTCGGCCAATTAGAGTATTAACGACCGGTATTATCGAAAAAGAAAAACTGCGGAATCAATAATGCTTACTGGAGATCATATGGCTTTCTAAAAATTGTAGATCATAGATTATAAACTACAAAGACACTTTTCCTAAAGATGTCTAACATATGCGTATATGTGTGCTTCACTACAGCCGAATAGTGAAATTTTCCCTAAAAGTCTTAGGATTTTACATTTAGGTATTTCACATGCTACGATGAATATCAAATGAAAACTAATTATAAAATGTGACACTAATTTATACTCTTATCCCTTTTGTCTACACGGATTCAAAAGTCAGAAACCAGTTTATTGATGATAACATGCTTCAGATCCTTGAAGAATAATCAGTCCATGGCAGATTTCTATAATACATAGTTAATCACTGTATGGACTATATGATAGAAATTCTTGTATCATCTTCTTGTGCTGAATAGCATCATATCCAGGTCGAACAGTCCGGCCTGGAAAGGGCCGGTTCCGAGTAATTCCGTTGATTTTGTGTAAACAGTATTCCGGTTGGAAAATTTTCCGGTGATTTCCGATCAATTCCTGCCGGAAAGCACCGGAACTTGGCAGGAATTCGTCGGAAAAGTCCGGCCGTATTTTTGACCGGAATACTGCTTCCATATTCCAGCGATTTCCCGTGTTTTACTGCAGGATATGGTGACTCTCCCGCATATTCCCTGGAGTATCCTACGGGATCCGGTGGCCGGAATGTTCGACCTGCGTAGTGTAACAACTTCTTTTTATTGTGCTAATTAACAGTTTTCGAAAGCCGAAAACTTCATTTTCTACGAAATCTTTCGACTACGAGAGGCTGTGTGAGCGCAGATAAATAGTATGAAGTACCAGATATATGTACACAACATGTTAAGATGATAACTTGAGTCATTCAAAGAATTGCTCCTGATCCCCCTTTTCTATGCACTGCGCCATGGCCTCCTTGTTTAAAACTATTCACCTTTAATAAAACAATGTACGTCATATTTTAGACGATACAATAAGTTAATTATCTATTCTGATGTCGAGTACAAAAAAACAAGTATTACCATCATTAACCAAAAGCACGAGAAACTATTAATATTCAATATAGATAACTATTAATAAATACATTGTGCAAGTCAGGTGATAATTTTATTTCTTATGACTAATGCATTGCATCGAATCGAGCGGAAATAACATCTAAGGCAACAATGCAGTGGTGAAAAAAAAATCCCTTAGACTGACTATTGGCAAATCAAAAGATTATGACAGCCACAAAGAAGCTAAGTTCAAACAGAATTATCGCCGCATTACATATATAAATATAAATATTTATGAATAGAATTTGGTACACACTGATATTCTCGAACAAAATAGATGTTCTAAATGTATTATATATTGAAACAAAATCAAATTGCTTTAGAGTTTTCAACACTTGATTCCACTAATTTAAGAATGTGAGACTTCAAAAGATGATAAAAGATTTAATTGGCAATTTTATTTTCGTTGATATTTGATGCTAACTCGAAATATTTTTAGGAGCAAAACAATGTTCTCAATTATCACTCCTTCTTTTCCACTTTTGTGATATCATATTATAATTATTATTATTTGTTGCGTAAATAGCAGTTTTGAAGATGTTACACTTTTGCCGCTACATTTCTTTTGTGTTTTATGATCCATATACACCGTGTTTCGTTCATTTACTATCAAGTAAAATAGACTAATCATTATATTTAATGAATCTTTGTTGTTCATGCATTTTCTGAAGAATATTTGTTACACTATTATTGATTATCTATACAATCAATACAGTATAATTTCGGAGTTTACATTTTTTTTGATCGACAATTACCGATACACGCGCTGCTGCATTAGGGAATTAAGTTGATTTAGTTCAAGTAAACAAATTACTGTTTCTATCCAGTGCTGTACCTGAAACTCCTGCATGTACATTCACCAAACGACGAGTATCAAATGAATTTAGTGTTGATCAAGCAGTGTAGTATAATTAGCATCTCTGCGTCAAGTAGATCTATTGCTGAATTATTTAGATGTTCTTAAGCATGTGAAATAATTGTTTTTCTTTAAGGCAATATACATATTAGCACGAGTGGATTTTATTGTTCATACTGTACTTGTTGATGATTGTTTCGTTTTTCTGGCGAATATATTTGGTGAATATATAGATCAACATAGATTTACATCGGATGGATTAGGATCAGCACCTTTTAATGTGACTGTCTAAATTGAGATGATTGTAAAAAAGGAAATAAATACGATATAGGCCGTGTCTTCTTGATTGCGGACGTTTTCTCTTAAGTATAGGGGGAAAAATGTTCGCAATCAAGCTATAGCCATATAGACAATATGTTTTGTTGATTTTATCTGAACGCTGAACGTAATTTTTCTTAATTTGTTTTTGGATTAAAATGTATTCTAACTGTTTAATAAGTAAATGATAAGCTGTTTCTTTTTAATTTATTCAGAAAGAAAAAAAACAAGACAACTGGTGATCTCTTTCCCATATCATTTAATGCATTGAGTCATTCTAAAAGAGAGAGTCATTAAGAGATTATTCCACTAGGATTGACTTCATCAAAATAAAACAACATACACAACAACAACAAAAGAGAAATTAGCTATACCTGCATGCCAATATGATGTTAATTTCATTTTTTTTTAATTTTAATTTTATCAAAGTATAATCTTGCTTATAACGACAGAAATGAACAAAGAAAACGTTTATAGTATATCAAAAATCTTTCTCTTTGCTTGATTAATATGCATCGTCATCCGATAAAAAAATCTGAATGATGTGAGCTATTTTGATCTGAAAGAAAATGGTTAGTAAACTGTGGATCAAACATGAATAATATTCATGAAGTAAGGAAGATGTCATGAAAATTAAAAAAACAATATACCGCAAGCAATTGAATAAGTCAACAGCTTCCGAAGATTTCTTTACAATGTTATTATGAATTTTAATATTTATTTCAGTTAAAATACAAAGATAGAATCAAAAGCAGAAGATCTAAATGAATATGAAGGATAATTATTCTGATATACAGTTCTCTTCTACTAAAGTCAGAGTGTGTTATTTTCCTGTCAAAAGATAAATCTAATTATTCGAATAAATATAATTCGGTATCTTTCGAATGGTAATATAGATAATAAAACATAATATTGAGAATAATAATAAGTTAAATTACATCATAATTAATCCTTAATGGATAAATAAATGTACTTTTAATACCAGATATTTCAATATGCATTGTAATGTGTGTGTGCATCTCTTTTTCTATTCACAATATTGACAAGAATGTATGCACATGCAAACATGCCATTGATTTAGAAATTAATTTCTATTCAACTAACAGTAACATATATATATTCAATTCTTATAAGCAAACGAGATTTTCAAAATATTTAAATACCCTCATCTTATGACAAAAGCTAAACATTTTTTTTTCATCATCTTTTTTCCTATATTTGTATTAAATACTGTATAACAAATATAATATTAACAAAAGCAAACGCTTTTTGCATAAAATGAAAAGAAAATAATGAAATTAAGAAAATGTTTTTGTGCGTTTACGTAAATTTTTAATTTTATTCAATATGTTTATTGTTGGGCCTAATTTAATTTTCATATCATACAATAGATCATTTTTTGTTAATAATAGTAGAGCTTCTCCATCAATTTCACTTTTTAAAAAAACTTGAGCGATTGTATGATTTGTTAAATGTCCAATAAATTTTCCAACTTGAAAAATTGTCCATTCATTTGGATCAATGAGTAAACTATCATTTTCTTCTTCTTCCTCTTCATTTGAAATATCGACTTTTTTCAAATTATCATCAATATGATCATTTGGAAATGTTTGGCAATTTCCACATTTAACAAAGTGATCTTCATTATGAACAATAGCATCACTATTTGGTTTTTGATTAAAAGATTTGATTGAAGAAAAAATTGATGATCGTACAACATTAGGTACTGTTGTTGTGGCTGACGTAATAATTAATGGACGAGGAGTACTTGTTCTAGGAGATGATGTTGAAGTAATTCTTCTTTGGTTTTTATCTGTATCAGCTAATAAAGAAATATGCCGAGGAAAACCTTCAAATGTTGATGATGGAATTCGTTGATTTAAATAAATCGATAAAGAACAATCATTTTTATATGAATGTAAATTATTAAATGATGTCATTGTTGTTGCTAATTCTGTGTCTTGAATCGGTGAACCACTTTTAATTCGTTTATTCATAAATGACTGATGTTCACACGATCTAATGAAATAAAGAAACAAAAAAATCAATTTCAAATAAAAAAAGCTTTAGTACTACCTTGATCGTTGACGTTTCTTGATTGATAAGCTTACAATAATATAATGCAAGAAATAAAATGAGAGAACATAGATTATATTAATGCTTTACCTGTTGAATCTTTGATAATTATGATTAGATGTTTGCGAAAAAGAAGGATGATCGTCTGCTTCTTCTGCTGTTGAATAATCTAAACCTATTCAAATAACTGTATTTAGTTATATTTTTGAATCTTTTAATAACTAACTAGAGATATCATCTAATGATGAATCATTAACATTATGCATTGGTGATGTACCACTATCATGTTTTGGTAAAGTATATCCATGATAAATTGATGTTGAAGGTAATTGTGTTTTACCTGTTGATTGTTGTGTTCTTATCGTTGTTGAGTTATCTGTAAGAAGAAAAAAATCGAAGAAATGTTTTGATTTTTAATCAAAATGAAAATAATTTACCTCGTTGCATATCAAACGATGAACTTGCATGAATAGTAGTAACTGATTGTAAAGAATTTTCATGCAGCTAACAGAATAATCATATTAATTATATATCAAAGAAAAGTTTTCTTTTTAGTTTTACCTGTTGTGTGATAAAAGTAATGGGAGTTTGTTGTTGTCGAAGAGTATTTATTGGTGAAAGATTCGATACTAATAAAAAGTACAACGAAAGATATTTGTATTTCTTCATTTCTTTTTCTTTAAGGGGACTCCCCCCTCAGAAAAAATTTTCCACGTAGAATGATGGTCCGTTTGAGTCGAAATTTTCAGGAATGAGTGATCTTAGTAAGATATGGTTCTGGTAAAATTTTCAGCTCTATAGATCGTACTAGACCGAATTTCCAGCTGATTCATAGGTCATTTTTGGCGTTCAGGAGAATTTTTATAACTCCGTCACAATACAAGATATAGAGCACGGGGTAGTTTCAAATTAAAGCTAATGTCGGTACGCAACTTTTCATCAACCAGAATTTTTAAATTTCCTATTGTTCATTTTTTATGAATATTTTACTAGATATGTCTTAAAAAGCAGTGATCTGACGACAGTAAATTCCACTTTTCTTAGCCCAGGAGTCGATTTAAAAAAAATGGTTGAGGAAAAGTTTCCTCTCACTGAGCCCTTTAAAACAAAAAAAATATTGGATATAGCTTGAACCATGTGGGAGTTATTTCAATTTTCCTGTCTGAAAACCATTTCAAAAAATCGCAAAAAATTCTCGAAAAACATGGTAGTAGCGCGCATATTTCCCTCATAAGTCTGTCAAAATCTGATCATTTTTCAAAAACCCATATATATTCTGAAAGAGGAATCTTCAGCGCATCTTCCTATGTTAAAAACTCATTTTCCAATTTTTTTCGAAAAATTGACTTTTATGAGGGGGAGGGCCTTAAACAGATCAAATAGATATCCGTTGTTTGATCTCAAGGTACTTACGTTTGAAAGAATCTTCATTTGTTTCAAATGAAAGAAAAATAGGTTGATTACTGATTGAAGCTCCAGGCAAATGTATTGCTTGAAGAATTTGATCAGCTTGATTTCGAAATATGACATGTTTTTGAGCATAATTAGGTACTTTAGCAAGCTGAATGAAAGGTTTTTTTCTAGATTGAAAAGATGAAAAATGCCACTTACTTGAAATTGATTACCATCGGCAACTAAATATACGCTAAATCGTTGAGATCGATCAATAGCAAATGGATTGACAAGTTGTCTATCTGAATAATAAGATAATAGATTAATTGTTTTTCTCATTGATTAAATGATTTACTTATTGAAAGACGATGTGGAACAAATGATGCTAAGCAAATAGAAAAGAGATGAATATATGTTTCTATTTCTATGACTTACCCATTTGATTGCCTAGTGAAACAGACTTCCGTACTTGTGATAATATAGTTAATGGTTTATTAATAGATGATCGAATAAATAATGTCCTTAATTTAGGTGTTGTTCGACTTGTTTGTTACAATGCTACACTTGAAATAAGTGTTTCTAATGAAAATCTAAAACAGAATATTTTCTTACATTTTCCTTATTTTAGTAAATATACAAGAAGTAAATTTCTCTCAATCGAAAAATACAGAAACTAATGTGCATGTTTTTCTTTAATGAACCGTGTAGATTGACTTCGTAAACGAATAAGTAGTAAATACACGTAGAATTTAAACATTTGTTGTGTTTAGAAGAAAATGAGAAAAAACAAAAACAAAAACAAAAACAAAAGTTTATATAACAAATATAATCTTTCATTTAAAACGATAGACTGCATTTAAGGGTCTGCAATCAAAATGCAAATTTCTTTAGCTTTATTTTTTTCTGATCAAATAGCAAAACAGAATCTATCCTTCAGAATCAGCAGATATTCTATATGCATTTTGCTTTTGATTGATACATTTGCTATCCAAAATACAGATTACTATTAGCATCTTTCTATGTGATCCTCAAAATTGAAATAATCGTCCAACAAAAATCAATTTCATATAACAGATTCAGTTTATTTTTTCTATCGAAATAATACTTTTATTTTTGGACTAAAGCGCATTCAGTCTGTTTAATGCATAAAACAATGTACTTAGTTTCTTTGTCGTTTATTGAAAAAGAAAAAGCCATTTAATCTGTTTAATCATTTCTCTCTATACCTGTTCGTCGATTGACCAATACCAAAAGCTGATCATTCACATTGAAAGACACAAAGAATATTCATTGCTACAAATCAGAGACAATTACAGAAGAATCTATCCAATTGTCGGATGAGATAAGGTTTAATTGAATTTCTGTCAGATCTTAATAAAATCTCATCAAAATTTCATAAAATCCGCTTGAATTCTATAGGAAAATTATCGGGAATCCAACGATGGAATGATATTCGAATCCTATCATCAGGGACTTGAGCTACTTAGGTCAATATTCATTGTTTGTGTGTCAAATATATTGATGCTCAATGTTGAGTATTAGTTATATTGATACGGATGATAAGCGACGTGAAAACTTTGAGTCAAAACATTTAACTTACTTATTTGAATTCTCTTTTTGTAACTTACTCTTCACTTGCTTTTATGAGTATGACTATAAGTGAATTGATATTCCTATATATATATATATATAGACGTTCTTATCCGCGGACGTGTTTCTTATACACTTTCATGTCTTCTTCGTTGAAGACATATTTTACTCATTGGAAGAAAATAATGTCGATAAAGCAGAATTGAAGACAGAACGGAAAAACATTATTGGATAAAAAGCATACCCACACCCTAACTCGTCAATTGTCGATGCATATCTCGAATGACATAGAGTATTATTACTCAATTACTAAACGTAATACCACCACCACCACCACTATATTTGAATAGTCGTATTCTCGGCTATATGTTATGTTCGAAAGTGAGAAGCTTGACCAACGCACCGTTACAGTAGATTTTCATTAAACCTATGAAACAACTCAATGACAATAAAGAAGAAATGAATCGAAAACCGGAGCAATAATAATTGCTGTATTCAGTTTTATATATACCTACGTACTCGACGCTACATCAATCTCATTGTTCTCAAATCATATCGTACACATGAAGAATTTGACGGTTATGTTTGTTTGTAGAAGTACATCTGACAGTTTAGTGATCTTAAGGCTCCCCTCCTCAAAAAAAGTCAATTTTCGTCAAAAATTGAAAATTGAGATAACACCATGGGGTGATAGTCCATGTTCTGCTCTTTCAGAATCACTATAGTTTTTTTTTCCAAAGACCATTTTTTGACCGAAATTTTTAGTGATCTTTGAGAGGTCCTCTATGTCAAAAAACGGCAGTATAATTAGGTCTTTGATCTCTAATGACTGATTAATTAATTAATTAAGCGCTCAGCGTGTGCAGAATTAAAAGTTACGTACGAAAGTTAGGTCAGTTTCTTCAAAAAACGCGTGAAAATTGCAGAAAATTTTAAAAAGCAGCAGGAACTTTGAAAAAATGTTTTTATGTTTTTCTCAAAATCATGCTTTTCCATTTTCCATCCAATTTCTCATACCTTCAACTATGTTTCTTCGGATTTTTCTTTTTACCATTCGATAGAGCATGCAAAGACGCAGGACATGACGTGCTCTGATTTTTGAAAAAGCTTTTTTTTTATGCCGAAAAAATATCGCCTACAAAATTTACTTGCAGTATTTTAGGCGTTTTTCAAGAAATTTGAATTCTGGAAACTTTTTCGGCTTACAGAAAGGACTTTTTAAAAATCCGAGCACGTCATGCCCTGCATGTTTGCATGCTCTATCGCATGGTAAAAAACATTTTTGAAAAAACATAGTTGAAGGCATGAGAAATTGGATGGAAAATGGGTCATTTTTAACCAGTGTTCACTTTATAACTCCCTTAAACTTGTATATTTCGAGCTGAAATTTTTATCGTAGACTACCCGCTATAGTCCCAACATATCCTGAAAATTGCAGCCGATTTGGACTTTCTTTGGCGAAAATCGACCTTTGAGGGGGGAGCCTTAATACCGTGCCACACCGAGCATTTATCATTTCTAGCCATCTTACGAGGGAAGGTTCCCAAGTGTAACTCACCGATCAAGCTCATATTTTGGCTACAAGTAGGACCTGATGAGACTAGTATAACCCTAAAATGGTTCGTCCCCATACACTGTTCTTCCCGAGTTATGGCTGTTTTACCGTATTTTCGACCCCTGGAAAGAGATTCGTGGGAGGATCGAATGACAGAATTTTTCCTCATGGATAGATCTCCTACTCATTAGAATGCCCTAAAAATTTCACCCAAAAAGAATGTTTTCTTCTCAAAATATTCAGTACCTAAAAACGATCCTACGTGCTCAGGTTGATCAAAACGGACTCGTTTACGGTCTGTTTGTCGACGGTAAACAATGTCAAAACGGTATCTTTACGACAGTAAATAGGCCGTATTTGCCCGTAATACCTGGCGCAGTAATACGGCACCGTAAGCGGGACTGAATTTGCATGGTTTACGGCTGTTTGTGCTCCGTACTCTCATGATAATACGGTCCGTATTACTGCGCCAGATATTACGGCAAAATTTCGCTCGTAAAATAGTCGTAAAGTAACCGTCAATGGCTGATACGGACCGTACTGTTCGACCTGGATGACAAGAAAAGGTAAGAAAACCGAGTTTTTTGGGTATTCAATATTTCGAGAAGAAAACATTCTTTTTGGGTGAAATGTTTAGGGCATTCTAATGACTTGGAGACATATTCATGGGCAAAATTTCAGCACTAGTACAATTCGTCGCGATCAGTTCGTCGCATATATAGGGGAGGATACATTAATTGAATTAAGATATTTAGTGTAGAATGTTATTGAATTAATCACTCCGATAAATGTTTTTCTTCAGAGAATAATGGCTCTTTCTTGATAATTCTTTTTTTTTAACAATAGAGATGTGAATTTACAGATTTTTTAAAATTAAATTAACTAGAATTTAAATTACAAAAACTCGATGGAATTGAGTTAAAAATGAATTGAAGTTTTTCTAGCATGAAAATTAAAACTATATAGAAATAGTTCAATCTTCCATATTACAGAGATAATTGACAACACATATTTCTTAACACAATTTGTAGACGAAATACAACTTCTATTTGTAGAAAATTGAAAAAAGGTTTGAAATATTCAATAAAGTCTAAACCAATCTTGATCATTTATTTCTTAAAATCTTTCTAATTTAAATTTCAATAATTTTAACTTTAATTTTCAATTTTAATTCTTATAAGGGTTTAAAAATGTATTCCTCCATCCAATAATTATTTTAAATTTCAATCTTCGGAGCATAAACGTGAAGCCTACTTTGAAAATCTTTGAACCGCTTTATCCACTAACTAAGCATCTTTACGTATCACAGAAAACTGTCCCAGACAGTACTGAACGAATTATATTCTTAAAAAAAGTGAAATTTGCTTTTATTGATTTCTTATTTTAGGTGAGGATTTCATCAGAATTTATCCCCTTAAAGGACTAGAATCCTATTTATCATCAGACTCTTTGTATTTTAAGAGAAAATGCTTTAAGAAATCTTTTTAGAAGTAAATTATTTCTTTTTTCGAAGCTCATCTTCTATTCCTCATGTACATCTAACAGTTCAATGGTAGGTTCCCGTTTCGTCGAAACATTTATTGATTTTTCGGTTTCGTCGAAAAAGGAGGAGTGGCGGTAAGGCTATTTTCGGCCCAAAATATTTTCAAGATCTAATTATATGGTGATGGTCAGGCTCATGTGAGCTATAAATTCCGCAGGTTCATTTGCCTCGAAATTACTTCCGAGTTTCGGACCCCTGTACCCCCCCCCCCTCAGGGTTTTGAAAAAATTTTTTTTTACAATTTAATTTTTCAAAGTAATTATTATTATCAAGTTGGCTGTGCTGATTACGAATATCGCTATTTAAAAATTCAGACATGTACTACTGCAGTAGTACATGTCTGAATTTTT